TATGGGCAAATATGAATTTTTTCTGAACCTTTAATCTACAACACTGAATAAAGTTATGTAAATCTGGTGCAACGAAGAAGGCTTTTAAGCTGTGGTAGGTATATCATGGTCCTCTCCCATTCTGTGAAATTGCTTTACAGCTAGGCCATAATTGCAATGACAGACATGCTTGATTGAGTTTTGTCTCTCTGTTAATCTATGGAGTAATTTTCAGGTGAAAATGAAGAGCGGTGTGTATCTGGGAAAGTGGGGATGCACTGAAAAATAATCCTTTTAATACTGAGTATGGAGATTCCCTTGTGCTATTATAGGAGTGCATTTTAGGATTAGAGTCTTTGGAAGCTTCTCGTTATAACTGTAATTTATTTTTAGTGGTTTTTCCCCATAAAGTAATATTAGATATTAAAGAGTATATATTTCAGGTGATAGTGAAAAACTGAAGATTTAGGCAAGGTACTGTGAATGCGAATGCATGAGAGATGGTGAAGATGAGTCATTTCTCTAATGCACAGGGTGAAAGCTTAACTGAAAGGGTGAACAGATGAGAGGCAGAACACAAGTGGTGTTTTATTGTCAAATCCTGAGAAATGTCATTTCAGACTCTCAGGGGAATTCTGCCTGGGCTCTCCTGTTACAAGTACAATTTGTTGTACATGAAGGAAACCGGTGATGAGGGGATGGGTGTCCTTTCGCAGCGGGATGAGGAGAGCCACACATTCCAGCAGGGTGGACTTGCAATGGCAATGGTACCAAAATAGCCAGGAAGGCTGGCTGTGTCCTTTCCTGGTAAGGATGAGCCAAGGAGAGCCACATCAAAGTAGGGGAAGGTTATCTTGAGTCTGCAGTAACAGGCTTGGTGGCACTCACCAGGTCCCGAAAGTGATGCATGAGGTTAAACCCACCCGGTGAGGACTGGAAGGGCTTTTCTCCTCTTTTCTTTGCACAAGGGGGTGCACACTGCTGCTGGAACCTTGTGTGGCTGCAGTCATCCTGTGCAGCCCTGGAGGGTTCACACTGCCACTGTGAAAAGGAGATAAAAGCTCTTCTTATCTACACAGCTCCTCTCAGATATCAAGATGATTAAGCACACGCGTTTGTAAAATGTGCCCCAGCACCTCTTATTGTTGATGACAGGGATGACTGGCAGCAATGAGTCAAAGTGAAAAATCAAGAGACAAGGTGAGGCAGTGGGGAGATCACAACTCCCAGTCACCAAGGCTGTGCCATGGTTCTTGCTGAACAACTGCTTCCCACCCAGAAGGAAGGACCCTGACAACAACCAGGTTGCAGATGGGGCAAAGAGGTTCTGGTTGCTCCTTGTCTGATCATCATCATATGAGCTGTCCCCCTCTCCTGAGAAGGCTGCCCCTGGACAGATGACAGTGAGGAGCAGTGCCAGAGCAGATGTCAAGAGGCTGAAGCAAGGAGGGAGTCACAGGAGGGGACCTGGTCCTCCTTGTGCAGACCCATTTGATTTTCCCATTTCCCTTGGAGAAGGAAGAGCAAGAGTAGACCAAGTGAAACAAAGAATACCTTGACATGTTGACTCATTTCCATGCCCAAACCTGTGTCCTCAGGCTCCCGGCTGACTCCCCTCATCTGCATCCAATTACACACCCAGTAAGAGGGTGAATACTGGAAGATCTGATCATTTTTCTGTGAAAATCAATGGTAAGCCTTCCCTTGTGCCAGACCAGGCTTCTCTGAGGGAAATGCTTCTTGTGAATTGGAAAGTTGGTAGGAGAAAAAAACCCAACTTCTTAATCCTTTGTGGTGATCAGCATCTAAATTTAGCCATTCAGGGACTTTTGATCCAATGTAAGTGGAAAATTGTAACCTTTGCTGACGAGCGTGATCCTGCTCAGCAGGAGGTGGCAGCGTGCTCCGGATCTCGTGGGCTTGGACCCAGGGGGAGGTTTGTTTTTAGGTCTCATGTTGACTAAGTTCTCCTCTCTCATTCAGAAAGGGCAGCGTTACTGCAAGGAGGGATATTGAGACGATCGTTGCCTTGGGCCCTTCAGAAGAATTGCCACATTTTACATTAAGGGCAACCTTCCTCACATAGTACATCTCTGCAATTAATTGTCTTGACACATGATTAGTACCTAGGGGCAAGGACGGATCGTTCTGTTGATTGGGCAGGGATGCGTTATTAATTGTACAAACTGGCTTATAGTCAAAGGACACAAACCAGTGGCTGCAGTTGCTGTCACCGTGGATATTTGAAAGAGCACTGGAGATTTGTGTCAGGGCAATGCTCCTTTGCCATCGCAATATGATTTAGATTCTCTGTGAAATTTATTATGAAATTTATTCCTATGAAATTAGTCTTTAAACCTCATCCCCTGCAACACCAGGTCAGCTGGTGCACCCTCTCATTTCCTCTTGTTTGTTTTCCCTCATTGCCCAGACATGCAATGTGGCAGACAGAAGAATGCAGGCAGCTTCTGTCCTGCTGGCAGGGAGCAGTGTGGGATTTTGTACCTAAAAAAGGAACTAGCTGACCTTGACTCATTCTGAAATGACGTGACATCCCTTTTAGATTGTTAATACCATTTTTTCTGCCAATAAGTAATTTTGAAAAGAAATAAGTTCATGAAGGATGTTACAAAATTAAGCAGAAGCAAATGTCAAAAACCTCAAAAATAATAATAATGATCATGTAGTGTAATTTCTTCTCTCTGCATCCCATGTAGCTAAAGCAATTTTATAGCTGTTGTTACACTGTACAGGATCTCTTAATAGTATTAATTGCCAGATGAGATAATACAGTTCAAGCCTTACATACTTCACTAAAATGAATCCTAAAGTTCTTCACTGGTGGTTACACACTGTTCATACCAATGAGGATGCTTTGGAGAGCAGACCTGGACCTACACGAGGCAGCCACAGATGAGTAGGAATGGTGGCTCCTTCCACAGGTAAACTTGAACAGAGGCTGTGAGGTGGAGGCCAAAGGAAAGTCCAACAGCCCAAGGTGGGGGAATATGTGAGATGTGAAGAAGGTGAAGCCAAATATCAAGTGTTTTTTCAGGTTAATGCTAATAGCTGTGAGCTGTGCATTGCAACACCCTCAACATCTCTGCTGACAGGAGGCTGTTCCACGCACTTAATTTTATTCACGTTTGTTCTCTTTGTTTCCAGCTCTGTGGGCTCTGAGGGCAGCAGCTGATGCTTGCAGGCTTTCAGTACCTCTCACATGAGCAGCTTTCATGCTCATTTCTAAACCTGTCTGGCATCCCTGGAGCTGGTGGCAGTGCCAGATCTCTGGTGGTGCCCAGGGTGGGGAGGACACTCCTGTCCTCAGCCTTGGGGTGACCCTCCTGCCCCCAAGTCCTGCCCAGGCACCTGACAAACTGCCTGCCTGTGTGCAGCTTCACACAATGCTGCCAAAATTCCTCATCTTGACAGCATCACCCTCTGCTCTCATTACTTCAGAAACAGAAATTGTCCATACCAACTTTTTTGAGTGACACCTGAAGGGAAATGCATGTTATGTTACACACTGTTATTAAGTGCCTTAGGCACCAGCAATCTTTTTTCCTGCCAGCATTGATTCATTAAGCAGCATACGGAAGTACAACAGTGACTGGTATTAGCTTATATCTCCCTTGCTAACCAGACTCTAATTTGTCTTCTTCATTTTTATTTCCAGTGTTTTGCATTGTTGTAATGAAGAACAAATAGCACAGGAGAAAAAGTACTTTCAGAGTTGTAGCTTTTTGGCTTGTGCATTTCTACCAGGCCCAAGTGGTTCATTGACAGGACTTTTATATATTGCAAATTCAAAAAGAAAGACTTCTTGGTCTAAAAATTGTCTTGATTTAAATGGGATCTCAAGTTGAGAATAAATTTCTCAAGTTTAAGCTCATTCAAGAGTTGCAGGCATTGTACCTGGTAATGTACAGAGGTGTCCAGGGCCCTGGAAAGCTTATGTAGAAGTACAGGGAGGAAAACCAGATAAACCAGATGAAGGAGACAACAGCCAAAAAAAGGCATAATGAGAAATGCTGAACATTACACTGTCTCCCCAGAAGGAGAAAACCGCTCAGACGTCAAGAGCAGCCCAGCGTGGCTCAGCTGGAGCACGGTGGGGTGCACGAGGCTCTGGGCTAAAGGCTGCTAAGGCTGCGGTTCCTTGGTTTTCACAGGGCCGTGCAACACTTCACATTTACAGTTGGTCACCTCTGTGTTTGTGTCAAACCTCATGGAAACAATTAAAAATAAACTAACCTAAGCCACACGACGTGCAGAGCGAGGTGTGGGACGCTCAGGGCACGCGGTGGAGATGGACTGGCAGCCCCAGTGCACAGGAAGGCTGAACAGCCAAAGTGCTGTCTGGCACTGGGTGGGTTTTTACATCTTGCTGGAGATTTTTCTCAGCCAGTTGTGTGGAATTTCCTTCGTTTCTGCCTTCTCCTCAGTGTTACACCTGGGATGATTATGCAGGAGAAGTGACAAAAAGCTCATCCAAGCAGGAGCCCCGGTGCCCCAACCCTGTACACCTTCCACAGCATGAACACTTTCACAAACACCTTTTTTATTTTAGATCCACGTCCTGGGAAGCTCTGGGTTTGTTGCTGGGCTCTGTGGTGCTGCCCCTGGGCTCTCAGTGCCCTGTGCCAAGAGTGGCTGGATGGTGGCAGTGGCCCCTCTGCCCTCAGGGCTTGGACCCCATAACATTTCCTTCCTTGTCCTGTCAGAAATGACCCCCCCGCTCTCCATCTGCTCACATCCTGAATTTTTAAGTGTCTTCAGATAGTAACGACTTCAGAGCAGCTCCTGAAAAGAACCCTGAGATTAACACTGCAACAGCAGTAAAAGTGATGCACTAACCTCTAATAAAGTTCAAGTGCCCTGTTAAGCAAATACTTCATGTCTTAATTCAATTTAAACCCTACTATGAGATATTTGTTCCTTTGAAGTGGACAAAAAATGTTTTCAACTGATGATGCACATTTAAAATTAATTTCTAAATTATTATATTAAGGTGCACTAATGACAATGAAGAGACGTGTGTGGGTGCTTGGGGCAAGACCAGAGCAGACACATTCTTCAGTGTGAGTTAATTTTTGTTATCACCTAATATGTAATCACACATCATGTGTTTTATTATTGTTGATAATTAATTTGCATGATATTAATATCAGAAGAATCCCAGGGATCTGTCAAAGCCCTCATGTTCCAGCTGCAATGGGAGGGTGTGATTGTATTGCTCCATGTAGGCAGAGGTGAATTCTGTGTCTGAATTTAAAACATTACTGAAACAAAAATGGAGCGATAGTTCTGAGGATGGGTGGGTTTCCCCAGGTCAGAACTTCTTGCAGTGACAATGGTGCTGTGGGTGTGGAAGATCTCCTGTTTTATTTATTTCTGTTGTAGGCAGTAATTTTGTGAGAGGTTTTCTAGGCAAAGCAAAGGTTGAACTTTTGAAGCAAACGCACACAGCATGACCTTTATGTCCCTTAGCCACTGTCAGGCTTCACTGAGTGCTCTGCACCCTGACATTCAGTAAGGCAATAAAGAAATGAAAAGTACTAATGTAACCTTTATAAAAATAGTTGAAATGATAGCTTAATTTTTAATCTCCCGCTATGGTGTTAAAATAAGCTCAATAAACTTTGGTGGTAAATTACATTCAGAGGGAATTCAATTTAAATAACATTATGGTTATGATAGTCAGCAAATTATGTCCTAAACTGCCGCTTCAAGAAAAGAAAGACACATTTAGGGTGGGATTGTTGACCTTACCAATTTTTGGATAATACTTGGGCCACTATTAATTTTTTGGTAGTTGATCTGGAACCTGAGGTGCTTTCCTCTTGCATACCCTGCCAGGCAATCAAGAGGATGTTGTAGATTAGCACTGCTCAGCAGCCAGGGCAGATGAGCCTTGTGTATTTGAGCTGCAGCATTGTGCTTCAACATCTTCAGAAAAGACCTGCACAAAAAATAGGACCAAAAAACCTGTTTGAAGTGAAGAGGAAGAAATTGAACAAAATAATGTTTTAAACAAGGTTATAAAGTAGTTTGATAGGGGAAATAATTTCTCGGCCGTCATATAAAGTGACATGGTTTGCAGGGTGATCATTGCAGATCAGGCTATAAAATCAGGCTGAGCTGTGGCTCTGAAGTACCTGCTGGAAACTGCCACAGGCTCACACATATGAATACAGGCTGGAAACAAGTGCTGTGTGATGACTGAAGCCTGTATGTGAGACAAAAGTTAAGCAAGAACTGTATATACAAGACTATGCCTTGCATCTTTCATGGAAGGATCTGAAACTCTTTTCCAAACACATATTTGTCAGAATATTTTTACCTAAAATGCTCTCTTTTTGCAGTGTGTGGTGATACAGCAATCTTTTTCCATTGCCCTGGATGTAATTTTGAGCTCTGTTTTGTCTAACTGCACAAAACATACTCAGGAAGGTAAGGAACATGTGCCCAGCACTGGTTTTGTTGAATGTTTTAATTCATGAGAGATATCACTGTTCTACTTGTTCTCTTGCAAAATTAAACCCTCTCCCATGTAGTCAGCCTTTCATTGCTGGTTGTGCTTAGACAGAGCTTGGAGAGGAACAATAATTTTTTTTTTTCTTTTTTTAAATAGGGAGAACTAGAGAAAACAATGGTTCCTGAGCTCTGCTCACCCTGTCCTGCCTGCCTGCCTGCCTGACTGCCTCTCCCACAGTGGAACGTGTGGCCTGTCATGGGGGAGCCCCAGGGAACATGAACACAGTGAAAAAATGCAGCGTTGCCACCAGTTCAGATGGACCAGGAGCTTTATTGGAGGACTGACTTTATTTCTTACAGCTGTTGGGAGGTTTCTGTTCCTTTGAAGCTGAGGAGAGCACAGCGAAGGTGTGGGAGGTAATGTTCAGTGTGGGGAAGAGGGACAGAAGAAAAGCAGTTTGCACTACCAGGGAAAATGCGCCGAAGGGAAGGAAACAAATCTTGCCTGTGGGTGATAAAAAGATAGATGCACATTATAGACTAGTGGGGGCTATTTTCTGGAGAAATGGTGATCTCTACTAGCAGGTGAGTGGGATTGCAGTGCTAAAGACTCATTGCATTGTTCCCAATGCTGCTCTAGGCTTAGGTAATTTCACACTTTCTCACTTTCTCTATGAAGAAATAATCTGCTGAACGAGTTTTACTCGCGTATAATTTTCAATGAATATAATTTAAAAAGGTTTCAGTAAAACAGTTCTTTACCCCTTGAAGGAAACTGAGAAGTAGGAGGTCAAAAATTAGTGATCTAGTTTCATGTTATTAGATTTCCCCTAATCAAGGCAACAGCAAATATATTGCATTAATAGAGCACCAACTGTGTAGAACAAATGGATTATGATTTTTTTAATGGTGTTGCTATAAATACTTTGTCCCTACCTAGATTTGCCATTGGAAGTGAAGTATGACATTTTAACACATGTAAAGAAAGCACATAACCATATCTGCATAAACTTTTAACTTTTTGTGACTGATTAGGAATATGGGGACTTGTTATAAAGCCTTGGTTCTTTCTTCTTGAAAATTAAGGCAGAGGAGTGTGTTCCAGATGCTGAATTGGAGGGGGTTTCAAACTTGTGGTTATACTGTTACTAGTTGGGGGGTCATTTATATATCCTTACAAATGAAAGATGAGGCTTGTTCCAGGGGGTAAAACTGATAAGAAAGGAATGGGTTAAATATGTGACACTCCATGAAATTATCTGACTTCAAATATCTGGGAGTTAAGAGAAACATTTCCACTGGTGTGTAGTCAAGACATGGCTTAGTAAAGGAAAAAGAATATTTTTTTTTCAGTGACTGTCCCCTCTTTCTATGAAATGTAGCATGTGTAGAATTTACTCATTTCTTGCCATTTATTAGTTTTTCCATTTTTTCACTCAGTATTTATTTCACTCAGTAGTTTTTCAGTTAAAGTATGTACATGTTATCATAGAATATAGAAGCTAAGTTTGCTGAAATTTTTGAAAAAACAGAGGAAATTTTGGAAAAGTTATGAAAATAGAATGCCCTAAAATCTGCCAGGTTTATTCTATTGTCTCTCAGAAATTTTAGGTGAAAATATTGCAGGAAGAATAGTAAAGAAAGTGTTTCAGCAACACAAGAAGGAAAATATTTAATGAAATATTTATGTAAAAAACTAATTAAATGAAACTAAAATCAGAATTGTATTTTACTTTAAAGTTTGCAATGCAATATCTGGGTGGGGGAAAACCCTTTCATATTTGGTGAGAAGTTCTCTAAGGTAGGAAAAGAATTCAGGTCAGAGATTTCTGCCTGCCAAACAAGAGAAGGAAATTGAAGTCAAACACCTACATTTAGCAGCACAGAATGATGTGCCTTCTTTAGCCCACATGGCTGGCACTGTTTCCTCTCCTGGCACCAGTGAGGTCCCCAAGTGTCCCATTGCCACTGGATTGCCCCAGACCAGCGGGCTGGGGTCTCCCTGGAGGGCTGGAGGCTCTCTCAGGGCAGGGTCACTGCAACCTGCTAACTGAAGTTGTTCCTGAGTACATTCATTCCTCTGAATGCAAAGCCCTGATGTTTTGGGTTTTTTTTGACAACCCTGAATGTGCTTATGAATAGTTCATAGTAAAAGCTTCCACGGAGAATATAAAAAGCAATTAAATCTTAATGGGCTGATGTTTACATTTTTTGAACTACAGGTTGGAAAGCCTGAGTGCAAATTGTTCCGACACAGCTAATGTTTTTGCTGTGAGGGGATTTGTGATAAGCACTGGGCAAAAAAAATGTATCTAACCAATCTAGTCTCTCATTTTTCCATACACATTTTCCTTGTACCTCTAGAAGAGAGGTTTTTCAGTGGTATTTTAGGTGACAGTTCCCTCAGCAAAATGCCTGTCAGTACCTGCAGATTTAAGGTCCCAGGGAGAGGGGAATGAGGTCTCACCCAGACAGGGAGGTCAGGATGAAAATGCTGTCCCCAAACACCATCAGGGTATTAGAACCATCCCCATGTGAGCCATGAATGACTACATACAAATAAAACATGACTCAAGTACTCAAAGTACTTTATGGTTGCTTTTAAGGAGCCAGTCCTGCAGAGGCAGCAGCCTCAGGGGAGGTTTCTACCCAGGCTGGGACCTGGGACCCACCTACACAGACCTGCTACCAGCCTTTCATGGGTATGTTATGCCAAGTCAAGCAGCAGGTTTCAGCTCCAAATGAAACTTCCCTTTTGACACGGAGGAGGATGATATTTTTAGTGCTTTTAGCTTTTTCCGCTCCCTACTGGCCTTTGCCATTTCAAATTTTTTTACCCACAGGCCAAGAGACACATCACAGGAGGCAAAGGTGAGGCTTCCCTTTCAGCCTTGAACACTGTGTGTCTTTGTGCCTGACACAGTTTTATTTATCTTAAATACAGTAGTAAGCCACCACAAAATCACAGAATATCCTGGGCTGGAAGGGTCTCACAAAGATCATCGAGTCCAATTTCTGGCTTTGCAGGGGACACCATGAATTTGAGAGTGTGTTCCAAATACTTCTTGAGCTCTGACAGGTTTGTAACCCATGAAATCTTCCTCATCTTGTCCTTCTGGCTCACCTTGCCTCTGATGGAGGGCTCAGCCATGCCTGGGACAAGGCTTCCCAGCCAGCAGGGCTGCCAAGGCATGCCAGCAAGGGGAATGCCTTCCTGCAGGCCCTTGCCATGCTGGATCTCAGAGGGGACCCATCTGGTAAAGAATGAAAGCAGTGATGCAGAGTTATGTGGATCCTCTGCATCACCCAGACTTCATCTGCTTAGCTTCTAACCTTTGGAAAAGCCTCATCTGCCTCAGGGAATGGCCTTAAATGCACAGAGCTGTGACAGTGATACAAGGAGTAAGAGTCTCTTGTGGCACGTAAATGTTGTTGTCTTGGCCAGCTCAATTTCTTTTGCTCTTTTCTCTCAGTGTATTTGAGTCTGTAATCAATAGTGAAATTAAAAGGACGTGGGTTTAGTCCACCCACAGACTTTCACTGCCCTGCTTGGGGATACCAGATCTGCAGTGTTCTCCTAATCTGTGCTCGAATGCTGAGTAGTCCTTGCCTAAAGATTGCTGCTCTCCAAAAAACCCCAAGTTTCCTGTTGTCTGTCAAGAGAAATTTCACTGGCTCATGCTCTCATTACAAGCAGGGCAGCTGTGCTGTTGATTTCAGTCAGAACAGGATTGGAACTACTGTCATCTTAGTATCTGTGTAGGTTATGAGCAGATGGTATTGCCTGACATTGAGTCCAATGCAAGGTTTCTGGCTTGGGCTGAAGCAAAATAACTCTGTTGCAGTCTTTCATTAGTGAGGAAAGATAACATTTAGTGAGGACATTTTCAGGATCTGCCAGAAAAAAGAAAATAAATTTAATAAACATAGCTATTTTAAAATTAATAAGCTCCACATGCATGTGTGTGTATGTGTATACATGAACACATCTGTTCTGGGTTTTTTGGTTTTGGGTTTTTTTGTACAGAAATATAATTTTTCTTGTTGCTGAAGTCTATGATGTAGGCCAGAAAAGCAAGCTGTGCCCAAAATACTACGGCAAAACTTTCCAAGAACTATTAGTATAACCAGAATACATTTGTTTTTTTTCCCTTATTGAGATTGTGTCTGGTTTGGTGACTGCCTGGTGCATGAAGCAAGCATGCAATGAGGACCACAGTTAGTGTGGTATCTACATAAAATACTCAGTGCAAGTATGTGTGTGTATTTCTCTGTGCTGAGACCAATAGAATATCACCACAATAGTTTTTAAACAACTCATGAAATGAAAAATCTCAGTGCAATGATGGAATACCCGCTAGGCTGTACTGAACTATGTTCAAACAATTAGTTTAAACTTGGTTAATAAACAGCCAAAATCTTAACCCCCCATCCATATATTTTCCCTTTGTGCTATTACAGGTAGACTTATGATTGGAATCTCAAAACATTAGAAACTCTAGCTGGACAAAGAAATGTGCACAGAGCACATTTTTATTTTGCCATGACCAATGTTTGGTTTCAGGGGAAGCAGTTTGTGCATCACCACAAATTGATAGTATGGGATGATGGGGTGAGAACCACCATAAAAGAAACCTGGATTACACCATAAACTGCTCCCGTTGGGATCAACTGGTACATTCTGAATTCTGCAGTTATGAACCTTCAGCACAGTGTCATTTGCCTCACCTCACAGCTGCGTACTGGGAAGGAGACACTTCATTATAGGCTGGCAGTTCCTAACAGAAAAGCAGGTCAGGACATGCTGCCAGGGCGGCAGAGACTCCTCTGCTCCTTGTGTGCATCACTGGCACCAAGAGAAACATCTGGGCACTGGTGAAATAGATATCAGGTAAAATAAAAATACACAGAAGGACTGCAAAAACAGCTTTGCCCTGTGAATTTTCAGAGTTCACCAAAGCTTATTAGAAAAAAACAAAACAAAATACTTGAGAGGCGACTTGACTGCAGGGAATAAACACTTACACAGGGGAAAAAATAGTGGGTGTCAAAGAGCTTTTTGACTTAGCTCTGAAAAGTGTAATGAGATCCAATGGATGGAGTCTGGAGCCAGACACATTCAAATTGGAAACATGACCTACATTTTTAATGGTGAGTGTGCTTAGCCATTGGAACAAAGTACTCACAAAGTGGTGGATTCTCTCCTCTTGATGGCCTCAAATCAAGACTAGGTGCCTTACTGGGAGATAAGCTTTAGTCAAAAATAGTTATGCTTTAGTCAAACACATGTTACAGGGCTCGATATAGAGGTAATTGGGAAAATGTAATGGTCTGTGGCATCCAGGAGGTCAGACCAGATGGTATAATGATCCCTTCTGGCCTCAAACTCAATGAATCTCAGAATGAATATAAATGCT